TAAAAGTCCTAAGTTTTGCTCACTCTGAAATTGAAAGGCTACCAGTTCAATTGGCGGAGTTGACTTTTTTTACAAATGTTGAATTTGGCCCATTGCTCCAAGCTCAAAGTGATTCCCCCGAAACTTCTATTTAGCTTGAAAAGATTGCAAGTGTTGCCCATGGGAAACATCTTTAACCAATGGAAAATTGAAGGATCTAGTGAAGCTAATGAAAATGCAAGTCTTGATGAGTTAAGGATTTGCCCATCTCTTCTCTCGATATTCATATTCCTAAAGTCTCTATGTTGCCGGAGACTTTGTTCTTAGATTTGAATTTGAAGAGATATAGAATATTCATTGGAGAGCTTTGGAAATGGCAAGGCAATCATGAAATTTCAAAGATATTGAAACTTGAGCTAGAGGGTCGAATCCATTTGAAGCCTGGAGTACGAAAGTTGATAACAGGAGCTGAAGATTTGTATTTACATGGATCTAATGGGCTTGAAAATGTTCTTCACAGTCATGATGGAAGAGCATTTCCACATTTAAGGCATCTTCAGATTGAAAGTAATGATACTATTAGATATATTGTTTTGAACTCAGCACATCTTAAAGCTGCAACAAATAACATATCCAGCAAAATGTCCGAGTTACATTTCAGCAAGGTATGTGCAGATTATTTTGTTCACAATTTTTTTCTTACTTTATCTTCTTACAAAACTTCAAAATTATAGGCAAAAATGATTTTCACTAGAATTACTGGCTCTACTATTAGGCAATTATGGAAGTTTGTAGCTTTTTGTTTTTTTAATTACTTAAAATCAGCCAATAGAAAAGAAAAGCTAATAACTTCGAGTTTTAAAATAAATAATGAAGCCTCAAATTATTCATTTTACTTCCTAAAACCAGTTAATTAACTTGATATTTTTGAGCATTTTAATATATAAATTGTTCCTGTTACTAAAATAGTATTTATGAGTATTTTAGATGCTCTGAATAACGACCTTGTTCGACAGGCATGCTAGACGCTTGTACTGTTACTTACTCAAAAAAAAAATTTATGAGAATATAGGTCATGGTTTTCCAATCCCTTTTCAGCAATAGGTTATACTCATATTATTTTAGTTACTTTTTCTTGTTTTAACTTTCCGACAAACCTTCAAACTTAATTGCCTGCCAAAAAAAAATTCATTTTCACTAGAATTATCTGCTTTGTTGGATCGTTTTTCTTATTTTTTCGAACGAAATCTGCAAAAATTACATTCACTGGAATTACTAACTTTGGTATTAGGCTAGTTACTATAGCATTTTATAGTTCTTTCATTTTTTCGATTACTTAATTTTTTTAATTTTGTGATCGTGAAATTTCAAATTGAACTTTCTGCAATCTTTTAAAAAATATTGTGGTAGATGAGATTATTTAGACATTTAAACAATCTTTCATGAAGAGTAAGCCCGGGGATTATAAGTTACTTGTGTTTAATCATATTTTCTCTTAACAGGTGTTACTTCCAAAACTAGAGAGGTTGGAATTGTCCAATTCAATCAGTTTGATTCCACTGATATGGACCAACTTTCACACACCTCATTTGGCAATTTGAAAGCATTGATTGTGAAGAATTGTGGCTTTGTGAAATTGGTGCCCGTTCATATGCTAAAATATTTGTACAATTTGGAAGAACTGGAAGTCAGCGATTGTCACATGTTGGAAATTGTGTTTGATTTTGAAGATTTGAATGAGTACAAAGCGAAGGTGTCATCATCAATCCAAGTTGTGCCACTAAAAAAGTTGAAGCTATGGTCTTTGCCAAACTTAAAAAATTTGTGGAGCAATCACTTCCAGGGAAATGTCTCCTTCCCAAACCAAAGGAGTGTACAAGTTTTCTCTTGTGAAAGTCTCACAAGAATGTTTCCTGCATCTATAGCCAAAGGCATGCTTCATGATCTTGAAGAGCTTCGAATATCGTGTTGTGGTATAGATGTAATTGTTGCAAAAGATCAAGTTTCAGAATCCGTTGCTTCTGTATTTGAATTTCCTAGGCTGACTTCCCTTGAGCTTTATTCGCTTCAAAATTTAAAGAACTTCTATCCACAGAGACACACATTAGAATGGCCACAGCTTCGATGATTATCTATCGAACGTTGTGATGAATTGGAGATATTTGAAAATGAAGTCTCAAGTTCACTAGAAATACATGAGGCAGAGGGCACATTAGACTCAAAATATCCTCTACTGTCCCATAAAAAGGTACATTTACAAATTAGCTATTCATGTATTATTTATTTTAAAATAAGCTAATAGAAAAGCAAACATAACTTGAAGCATTAAAATAAACAATGAAACATTAAATTATTTTGTTTTACAACCTAAAAGCAATTGAATTTGATATTTTTGAATATTCAAGTATGTGAATTATTCCTATTATTACTAAAATATTTGTTAGAGTATAATGTAATTTAGGGTTTGTTGATTGGCTTTAAAAAATAAAAAAGAATAATTCATCATAATTATTTTAATTAATAGATTTTATAAATAATTTTATATTCTTTCTTTTTAATAGAGGACTCCAATCCTCAGCTTCCATCTTCTCGCACACAAAAAGTGTATTGTTCAATCACGGGAGGGGATAGGTTTTTTACCCCTTTTTTCTTTTTTCTCTTTTCAAACATTATATGCTTCAATTTAATATTTTCTTTTTTAAAAAGAAGGGAGGAATAACGTTTGTGGGTCATAATCAAAGATTGAAACTCCAAAGTAAAAATTTATTTAATTCATCATAATTAATAATTGAAGTTCATGAAATACACATTTATCAAAATTGTGGATGCATCAAATTGTAATTCATAAAAATTCAGTTTAGGATTTGATGATTGGCTTTAAAAAACTAAAAAAGAATATTTCATAATAATTATTTTAATTAATAGATTTTATAAATAATTGTCTATTGTTTTTAAAAGAGGGGCTCCAATCCTCAGCTTCTATCTACACGTAAAAAGGTTTGTTGTTGAGTCAAGGGAGGGGACAGAGTTTCTTTCCTTTTTTTTTTCCCCTTCTTTTTTCTTTTCTCTCGACATTATAAGCGTTAATTTAATTTATTTATTTTTTAAAAAAGAAGGGAGGTGTAATGTTTGTGTGTCACAACCTTGCAAAGATTAAAATTCTAGACCAAAAATTTATGTTCATTTGAATTTATCATAATTGATATTTAAAGTGCACGAAATATATGTATGTCAAAATTGTGGATGCATCAAATTTTAATTTGAAGACACCCTCATAAAAATCGCATATGGCTTTTGACGTATTGATTAATTGGTACTGTTAGTTACTATTTATGTATTGTGCAGGATATTCGTAATTTGGAGAAGTTGAGATTGGAGGGTAAAGGAGCTGAAATGATAGGGACTGACCGCTTTCCAATGAACTACCACTTCCCCAAAGTAAAACTGCTCGATCTATCTATAAAGAAAGCCAGAACTATCTCGTACAGATCATTGTTGAAGAGCTTTCCAAAATTAGAGGAGTTAGGGTTGGGTGGTCACATTAAGGAGGCTTCTGGAGGGGATGAAGTTCCCTTTTCAAAATTGACTCTCCAGGAGGTTTACGAGTTGACAAGTTTGGCACCATCCTTAGTTTCTTTACCAAATCTCACACATCTTACAGTGACAATTTCTTTTCAGTTGACCACTTTGATGAAGTCATCAACTGCTCGAAGCTTGGCCCATCTCACACATCTCTCAATTGATCAGTGCTCTGAAATAAAGGAAATCATATCGAAGCACGAAGGAGAGGTTGATGAGGATAAGGAAATCCTTTTCAACAAATTGCAGTACTTGAAACTTTATTGCCTAACAAGACTGAAGAGATTTTGCGGCTACAATTATACTTTCAGGTTTCCATTATTGGATCAGCTGATCATAACAGAATGTCCGAAATTCAAAGTATTCTCTCCAGGGCTCATTGATACACCATCACTTCAAAGCGTTCTACTGTCACAACATTGGAGGGAAAAACATCATGAAATTTGGGACACCAATCTTAACAAAACAATCCACCAACAGGTGCGTCCACCAGCATGCTTAATTCTTTCTATTTCCATATTTTACAAAAGTAATCATCTATAAAAGTTCCATGTTTATGATATTTAATATAAATCTCCCTGCGCATATTTTGGGTTAATCAAAGATTCTGCTAAACTTGTAAGTATAATCTTGTTGCATCACTTTAATTACAAATTAAACACCACAAAAAGTTTCGTCATAATTAATTAATGGGACATATAGCAGAGTGTTTTAGTATTATTATTCTTTTGTTTTTGTAGTTGATATCGTTATTTCTTTTCCAATATTAATTATAAAAATTAATGAACTCAAAGTGTGTGACACTTGTTTGATTAGGAAGATCATGGGCAACAAATTAAATTATTCATAGTTTTTTTTTTCCTTCTAGCTAGTGGGCGATTCGACTTTGGGAATCAATAAAAAATAAATTATTGTTTCTACGTTACTGATTCAATATGAAGTTATGTGATACAAAAATGGGACATTATTATTTATAAACGTTTCTCAGTACAAAATATTAAATTATGTAGTTATAGTTGAATAATATATCTTTGCCTAAAATCTTTTTACAGCGATTTGTCGGTACAAGAGAGCTGGTGTTAGATGAGGATGATGTCAGCATGATAAGGAATGACCAATTTCCAGCGGACCGTTTTTCTCACGCGGAAAGTCTTCGCATAGAAGGATTTGTTGGTGAAGGGGTAACATTTCCGTACACATTGCTTGGAAGATTTCCGAAACTGAGTGAACTTCGTGTGAAGATTAGTTCTTTTGAGGAGATATTCCCATCACATAATGCACACATTATTGTTGATCAAATTCCACCATTCAGGGAACTCTGCCTTGCCAATTTGACGGTGCTCAAGGTGGACGGATGTCATGGGCTCGTCTATTTAATGACAAATTCAACTGCCAAAAGCTTGGTCAATCTTGAAACATTGAAGATAAGTTACTGCCATAAGATGGAAGAAATTGTAATGAAGCAGGATGGAGAGGATGATGAGGACGAGGAAATCATTTTTAGCAAACTGAAGCTTTTGGAACTTCGCTCTCTAGCAAGATTGAAGAGATTTAATGGCCACAGTTACACTTTCAAGTTTCCATTATTAAAATGTGTAACTGTAGTAGATTGTCTTTGGCTCGTAATGTTCTGTCCAGGAGCCATTCATGCTCCGCAGCTTCAAAGCATTCGAGTGGATAGCTATGATCATCATAAACATATTTGGATGACTGATCTTAACAATACCATCCAACATCAGTTTATGACTCAAGAGGTACGTCCAACATTCTGAGATTCTTATTTTCTACTTTTTAAATAATTCCTTGTCATCTACAAAATTTAGCATAAGGTAACTACTTAATACAAATATTGAAGTCGTCTGTGTCGTCTCCCATAAATTATACACTTTTCATGTTACAAGACTCTAATTGCGCGCAAATGATGATAAATGTATGTGGCAGGCTACAAATAGTGTTGCGTTGTTTGGTACGTTTTTTACTAAAAGGGAGCTATAAAATGATTAAAAGAATTTTTTTTTGTTTTAAAATATGGATGTGATTTTAGAGGGAAAATCAACAACAACAAGCCTTAATATAAATATTAGAAAAGGTTGACCCATTGTTGAAGAAAGATTTTTTTCTACAATAAAAAAGCAAAATTATCATTTTAAAAAATATATTGACCTAATTTGTTAAACTGCAGTCTAATAGTAATAATTTTATCAATAAGCGTTTTATATGTAGTTTTCACTGCCAAAAGCATTAAAGATAAATGTGAATTCGAAGGAAATGATAGTTTTTTTATCCTAATTTAATTTAGAGGGAAAAAGCGGGGAATAAAATTAATCTTTTTTTTTATAATTTTAATGTATGGATGTATTTTTGGGGAAAATGATGAAAAATATAAATATTAGTCCAAAACAATATCTTGATCTAATTTACTAAATCGCGTACTAATTATGGTAATTGTTTTATTGATTTTCATTTTATAGGTAACTTCCACAACCCAACTCATGGTGTTAAATGCAGAAAATATCACAAGGATAGGGGATGTCTTTCCTAAAGTGAGAAGTCTTTCTGTAGAAATCTTCCAAGATGAAGGAGTACTCTTTCCCTATAGATCCCTAGAAAGATTTCCCCAGTTGGATGGTCTTAATGTGGAGCAAAGTTCATTCGAGGAGATATTCCCCTCACAGGACCAGGTTATTGATTTTATGGAGAAAATTCCTCCGTTTAAGGGATTATACATTTCCAATTTGGATAAGCTCAAGAGTATATGGAAAGATGATTCTCAACTACCACCAATTCATCAAAACTTGGCAAGCCTCGAGGTCAAAAATTGTTGTAATTTGGTCAAGTTGACACCATCCTCTGCTTCATTTGAAAAATTGAGAAGCCTATCCGTATCTGGATGTCATCAGCTCATCCATTTAGTGACAAGTTCAATTGCCAAAAGCTTGGTGAGACTTAAATGGTTGAAGATAAAGGATTGCAAAAAGATGGAGGAAATTGTAAAGAATGAGACCAATGGAGATGTAGAAGGTGGAATCACATTCAACCAATTGCATGGGATCAGACTTATTGATATGCTAAGCTTGAAGATGTTTTCTTCACAAAGTTGCACCTTCGAATTCCCAAAATTAGAAGATATAGAAGTAACTGGATGCCCTCAAATGAAGAAGCTTGGTCGAGGAGTATTGAAAACACCAAAATTATCTAAAGTGAAAATAGAAGGATGTGATATGGAATGGGAGAATGAAGGAGACCTTAACAAAACAATAGAAATGCTATCCTTAGCAAAAGTATGATATATACACACCAACAAATATTGTTTTCAAACATGTATAGTTAATGACCAGGTGCATATAGAAAATTGATTATATCATACTTATGCCAATTTTTTTTTGGTGATAAAATTACATCTTTTTAGACAAACTAATATTATCCCTTTGTATTTCAGGATGGCGTTAATTGATGGAAGGACAAGTCCATCATCCCTGTTATCATTTTCAGGTTCGCTAGTTTGTTGTCTATGATTTTCTCTGGTAGTTATTATGATATCAATAAAAGCCTCATATAGGAAGGAATGAAGCATTAAAAAAAAAAACCTGCATCTATTTTTGCCCCTACACGCCAATTTTTCTTTCCTTAAATTATTTGCATCTTTTTTGCTGGAGTTGTCCGTGCTTTCCTCTCACTAAAAATTAGAGTTGCTTGCTAAAATCTATTTCAATATTTTTTCCAATAGTAATTACTAAATATCAACAACTGCTACATATATTAATTAAGGGATGAAACAGAGGATCCATCGTTGCGCGCGCGCGCGCGCGTGTGTTTTTTTAAATCTTTTATACATGTCAATTTTCATTTGTTTGTGCACATTCCCTCTCTATTGTATCGTTGATTTAGTGAATAACTTCTGCTCATTTTAAGGAGATTGACTGTGATTAAGGAGAAAAGAAACAGCTGACATATTTTCTTTTTAAAAAAAAGATGATTTTGATAATTTGATTCCCCAACTATTCTAACCCAATTTTCCCACTAAAAAATGATAAATATTTACAAAATAGAATCATAAAAAACATACTTTTTTACTCATTGATTACAAAATGATTTATATCTAATAACATGGATATATGTAGAATATAAACATATATAACCTCAATAGTCTTTTCATTTTCCTTGGTTGATTGATGCAGGTATTTTTGGTGATGATGTTGACACGCGATGATGAATACAGACAGATGCTTGTGTGTTGATGCTTTTGTAGAATTCTCTGTTATTTGATAACTAAGACGCTGTTTTTATCATAAACAATATTCCTGCCAATAAATTAGGTGATGAATGATTTGGCCCTGCAGGTCATAACTCTACCCTTAAAGTGTGGTTTGTTTCACTGTGTACTATGACTCTAGTTGTGGAAGACTCAAATTGGTGTCTGATTTGAACCTTTTTAGTCGCCTTGGGTTAAATCAAAAATAAAACCAAATTATGCAGTAAAGCACAACTCGGGTCGAGTCTCTTGAGGAGCTTTTTATTAATTCCTTAGTTAACTAAGTGACAAAGAATTGAAAGGAGGGGTTGAAAAATGATTTTTCAATTAATAAAACTAATTAAGAGAGTAAGAAATAAATCTAAACTACTTTTTTTTTGGTATTTTTAAGAAAGAATGAAAAATGCAAATTTGAATTGTAAGAAATCAATAACAAGAATGCTCTTGAGGAATGAATCAATGACTATCCTAGCTTGTTTAATGATATGGGAGTAACTCAAGTGGTTAAGACTGGTTTATATAAGTTATTCCTTTTAAATTAATACTCAACTAGAACATTAATTACTTGTTAACTTCACTTCAAGCATAATTTCTATACAACTCGCATAAAAATCACACTAACAATGACTTAACAAAGGCATAAACATAAATATGTATAAACCAAGTACTCAAACTTATAAATACCAATCCAAATCTCAGCAATTCCAATCCAAACCAAGAGTTACAACTAGCAACTCTTAGCTTTAAACCAAATATAACAAACTTCAAACCAGAAATCATCAACAAAATAGTCTAAACTAAGGACTAGAATTAAACTCCCCTTTGTAGCTCCCAAACTCAAGTCATTGAATTCAATCCCGAAGAGCACAGCGAACTCAGCCTCTCATAGCCTTGAACCAAGCTACAACTCGTGCCAAATATTCAGTAGCCATAGAGGATAGATGGAGGAGAAGAAGATGAATTTGGAAGATTGAAATTGAAGTGTTGCAGCGGCGGTGTATGCGTGAAAGGAAGGGTATTGGCCGTGTGTGTGAGTGGGATTAATGTTGCGGCTTGGGTCTTGAATGGAGAGAAGGAGGATGCGTGTGGCGTGACTGTGTATATGGCTCTGTGGTCTTGCGTGCGGCTGTGAAGGACGTCAGGGGTGTGAGTGCGAGTCGGTCATATATAGGAAAGGAGTGGGGGGGTGGCGGCGTGGTCTATGGAATTGAATAAATAGATTTGGAAGCTGTGTATGCGTGTGGTGCAATAGGCGTTGGCGGCGTGATTGTGTGTATATATCCTCCGTCTTGCAATTGATGGATTTAATATATAACCTAATATCTTTCCAAAATCCATGCCTTCCCTCTCTTCCGTCCCTTTCTTTCCTTTCTTCCTTCTTTTTTTTTAATTCTTTTCCTTTTGTTTCAACTTTCCTTCTATGTTTATTTCTTTTCTGAGACCTGCAAAAGATAAATTGAGATACTATCATAAAGTCCAAAATCAATTATTTAAAAAGAGATAAAATATGATAAGATTTTCTTTTAAATTTCTAATTTTGTGCCACCAATATTTAATTCAAAATATCTAAAATCAATGCAAATTATTCCACTTTAATTGATAAATATCCCCAAAAAGACATTAAATAATATATTAAAATAGGGATTTATCAACTCCCCCACACTTGAACTTTTGCACTCCTGGGCAAAACAATTAATCACATGAAAAACCAAGACTAACACCAAGAGCAATTAGAAAGTTATACAAATTCATGGAAAGAATATAATAGTTTGATCAATGACATCCAACAAGCTAGCAAAATTCACAGTTAAAACTAATGCAAAGGATTAGTCAAGTATTCAATCAACCTTGAAAGTGAGCAAACGAAAGAAAGCACTCAAAGGATAATAGTGTTTCACTCATATCACCTTATTAGGATAATTTTCACTCAGATCCGCTTAATTCACATTCTACCATAGGCTTGTAACAACTCTACTATCTCAATTACTATCTCAATCATACAATAAATCATGAGGACTTTAAAGGGTTGTAATGATGGAATTAGGCCACATGGAATGAATGAGAAAAATGACAAGAACTATGCATGCACATATGAATGATAAGCATCTTAAATACCACTAGATATTTCATAAAATCATGTCTCATAGAGCTACTTTTGCTACTTCACAGAATCCAAAGGAATGCCTTATTTCCCATACTTTTTTTTTTTTACTTTTCTATTTTTTTTGTTTTTCTCATATTCAACTTTTTTCCCTTTTTTTTCTTCTTTTTTTTTTTACTCTTTTTTTTTTTAAATTGGCATTCAAACACATTATGAAAGATAGTAGCAACATTCTATGATATGACAAGTCATGAGTATGTTAAGATGCTTTGAGAATGCAATTGAGATGCATATGCATTGTTGCTTGTCGAAAACGAGAATAAAAAGAAAGTGAAGGCTCAAAAGGGGTATGCAATGGATAAAAATGATAAAGGTTTGTGTTTGGGTAATAAGGAATAAAAAGAAAGTGAAGGCTCAAAAGGGGTATGCAATGGATAAAAATGATAAAGGTTTGTGTTTGGGGTAATAAGGATACAAATAAGAATGCCTCAATCATATTATCATATAATCACAATGCAATTAAACTAAGAGTTGAAACAAGTTCTGTAGAATGAAAAACTAAGTGGATAATCACCCAAGGAAAGGAAATTAGGCTCAAAGATCTTCCAACAAGGTTTATTCTCTCATGCCCACTCACGTTGACTAATTGGACACCAAACTAACCACAAAGCATTAATGAAACTATTCGAATTGCTAGCTGTAAGAGTATCATAAATCAAAGCATTATATTAATCCTGAACAAGCATAATTCCAAATGGAAATAGTGAAAGCCATTAAATACGGGGTATAATGAGCAACAGAATCATCAAAACCAGCAGCAAAAACAGCAAAACTCAACCAGTTATAGACCACAGCAAGCAATAGAAGGACTAAGAAATACCAAACCTTCCCCCACACTTAAATCATGCATTGTCCCTAATGCATAGCCCAAATGTAGAGTAGCAACAAGAGTAAGAGAACTACAAATGAGAGATTTTATTGAATAAAAAAAAAAAACTACATCTACCTTTTCCTACTGGATTACCCCTTCCCCCACACTTAAATCAAACAAACATGTTAAACAGATATCACGAGCAATCATAAAACATGAAAAGTGAATCAAGAGAAGGAAGGGGACAACCTGACGAGTTATGGGGGCTTATAACTCGAATGGTAAAGCCGGAGCTGATCCAACTTCACTCGCATTCGCTGCCCTTTAGCAATCTTCACCACTGCTTTCTTTTCATGTGGGCAAACAGAAGTGATCACCACAGGTCCGATCCATCTTGCTTTCGTCTCATGGTCTGGGGTCTCGAATTTAGAGAACTGGACCCAAACTGCCTCACCAACAGCCAATGATGCTACTCTTTCATCTTTTTTGAACTTCGGATCATCAATAGGAACATCAAGTATTTGGAGATGGCCAATGAGGTGGCTGATGTCATAAGATGTGAGTCTATACTTTCCTTCTTCTGTCTTTGTTTCTTGAGACTCTACACTCTGTACTTCAATACTATCAAAATCACCATATGAGCCAGGGTTAGCTTGCAGGATGGATTCAACAAGTCTGGCTTGTTTCCGCTTCTTTTTCTTTTTCTTGTTGGCTTTGGAATGGGCAAGAGCTGCAACAGTAGCTTGTAGGGACTTGACCTCTGTGATCAATTGTGTTGTAAGCTCAACTGAGTTCTCAATCCCTCTAGTGGTACCTGCAGCATTAACATCCACAATACCTTTCTCAAGCCAATTTGAATCAGAAACAAGAGCAACATCTGATGTGTTAACTTCATAAGTACATGGTGTGGAAAGAGTACAATCCACATGAGCAACTGTAGAGTACTTCACGTCATCACCATGCATGGGGGAAGGAGAAGAATGGGATGGAGAAGTGGGGGGTAGCATATAACCATCAGCGTGAGCGTGTGTAAGAGATAACCCATGTTCACTAGAAGCATCAT